TCAGGTTGTTCTTTTCCAGTATAGAGTTGTTGCTTTTTTGCTGACCTTGGCTTGTTACCTCTCTTCAGAAATAATACCTCGGTATAAAATATTTGGTGTATAAAATAATTTCATTTAGAATCAATTCCTGTGAAATTATTGTGTTGTGTTTTTTTTTAATTGAGATAAGATTTAAAAAATAATAGAAAACAAAATTTGTAGTATTGAGGTCTTTCTTGGATAGAAGTCTTGACAAAGAAGACAGAGTTTCAAAGGTAGATTGTACCTATTAGAGCTGCTTCTTCATTTTGGAGGTTCACTTTGGAGCTTCATTTCTGTCAAGCTCACTTGGGATAGTGCCTCTTACTTCACAGAGAATGAAAACTTATGCTTGGCTCATCTACATGTGTGGACCAAAAATTATTTGAAGCAGCTCTGGAGGCAGGTGAGGATATTCCCTGCCTCCATGGAAGAGAAATAGTTGGGATTCACCTAATGACACTGATTATCTTAAAATTGTTGGAAAGACCCTCTGAGCTCAGACCAGTATTTCTATAGAGCATCCATCTCCCTCCCACCATCATAATTGTAGAATGTCTTTTGATTATGTTGAACTTCTGTGCAGCATGATGTCTGTGCTACAGTTAATTTTTCCATCTTTTTTGAGACCTTAATTCCATACTTTACTAGGGAAGAAAGGAGGATGTGATTTTTTTTCCATTGAGAGATTATTGATGTGGAAGTTTCTTAAGATAGCACTCAATATGTATTGAAAGCCATAGAGCTTACAAGTAAGCTTTCTGTAAACTAGTCACATTTGGGTTTAAGTATCCAGATGAAATTGTTGAAGTAATGTCTTCCTACACCACATGCTGACCAATATATTTGATATCTTATTGCTGTTCATGTTTTGGGAAATTAAGTGTTATAATAAATCCTCCTATTAAAACGTCTTCAATGTGGTAGGCAGCTGGAAATTAAAATACAAATGAAATATGCTTAAATGCTCAGATTTCTGGTGTATACACATATAAATTAATGTGTGCCTGTTTGTATAAGTACATGTGATAATTATTTCTTTTTCAGTTTTGGACCAAGTACAGAATTTCTTACCACAGATGGCACATGCAAATGATGAGCTAAGAAGAAAGATGGTAACAGCACCAGCTCACCAGTTTGATATTGAAAATCTAGACAGTGCAACAGAAAAAGTTATAGAAATGGTAAATACTTACTGTATTGTTCATTTTATAAAGGAAATTTAGAAATTACAAGAATAATTCTCTCATCTTAAAATGAGCTACTTTGATAGATAAGGCTAAGTCTTTACCAAATTCGAAACACAGAAGTAATAAAAATGCTGATTTGGTTAAAATTTACTGCTTGGTTTTCATACTTGAGAATTTAATGCCTGGGAACAAAGTAGTTTAAGGCCACAGTAAGATACACTTTTGAATCAGCAACTCGGAATCAAAAGTAAGTCACAGATTGTATTTTAAATGTAATGTGGCTTAGAAACTGGACACAGTGCAAGGTGTAGTAAGGCATAACAGAAGACTATAGCGTAAGAGTAATAAATCACAGATGTGCTTTGTAGGTATTTTTAGGACTTGCTATAGGGCTTAAGTTTAGAAAAGTTGTTAGTATTCTTACAGTCCTTTATCGCTGGTATTTGTCTATTTACTTATATTCACATTACTGTTTTATTTCTGTTTTTAACTGAAGTGCTGCAGCAGTGCTGCAGCCACATGCTCATGTGACACAATTTTCATATGAAGGTGACATTACATCTGCATGTCTCAGACAAGTGTCTTCTGGCCTGCAGACCTACAAGATAAAAGGCAGACATAAGGCAGCCTGGGCATGTGAGCTGTTAGAATAATTTCTTTGCCACTGGTTTGTTTCAGAGTACCTACAGATTTTTAAAATACTTTTCACCTGACAGTGCTGAGTGCCTTGGCTTTATCTTAAAGAAGCTGGGAGACCTAATGATTAACATCTTGATGCTATTTGCAAGTCATTGAAAACATTTATTTGCCTGTCAAATTCCTGTATTTTGCTTTGCTACATACAAGTCCATTATAAGTTTACGATGGATATTTTCAGAGAGAAAAACAGACCTCAAAAATCTCTGCGTATGGAAACATATGATTGCTTTTGGTTCAAAAAATATCCTGGTCTTTTAAACTACTTGCTATTTTGTAGTATCTGTAGTGTCATGAACACTATTAGGTTATAAGATATGAACTACATTAATAAATACGTACTTTTGTATATATATCATGATCCCTTATACACAAAATTAATTAATTTGAATTATTTACTGAAAATCAATTTTGATGCCTCCTGCTTGTCAGTTTAAATAGAGAGTATCTGAGTTCAGCTATCTACTTATTTCTCTCTTTGATCATGATACAAAAATGAACTTGTATTTGCTATAGGGCAATGTAAATTACAATATAAATATTTAGGAATCTATTAATTATATTTTTCATAATCCCAGGAGAACCCAAAAGTCTTTCTGATTGTGATTTTCTTATAATAATAGTCTGTTTTATGTGTTTGCTTTATTTTTTTTTTAATCAAGTGACAGAAGTGGTATAGAAATGTATCATGTGGTAATAACTAAGATCTTTTTTTTTCCAGAATGTGGCTGTAGTTGAATTGAGTGATTCTGATACAGACGAAGAGCTACTAACTTCAGAAGATGACTCGGAATCTGAAGATGACTGTACAACTGGTGAAGTAACAATAGACAACATTAAGTTTCCTAAAAAAAAGGGAGAAAAGGGCAAAATAGAAATTTTGGACAGCAAAGTGAATGAGTAAATCCATTTTATTTTCCTTAAAAAAAAACCCAACACAACAAAGCCACAGAAAAACCCACACATGCAAATAATGTCTTCTGCCTTTGAAGACTTGGCCCTTAAACTACCTTGTTTCCCAGTGTGGCATCCCTCAGGATCATGTTAATTGCTACAGTTTACATAGCGGGATTCAGGATCCACTCATGACTGAGGCAAGCTGGATTTCTGAGGAATCGTACGGTTTTATTAATCAAGCAACATGTAAATGAATTTCATCCTAGGTTAGACTAAGAAAGCAGGTAGAATTTGGGGCACCTCAACGAGTTAAGTTAAAATTCTTGTTCTGTTGCTTTGTTGAAGAAGCTCTTGCTTCAAGGGCAAGAAAGAGTTAACTAGGAAAAAAGCTTTGGTTTTTATATTCCATGTCCTGTGAAGTGTTATGTACAAGGTCTTCAATATTAAACATTATCTTAAAGTACATTAGAGATATGTCTACATTGCATTCATGATAATTGTTGAACACTAAAGCAGTGGCTGAGGTCATTTGAAGGTGAGCTGGCATGGATAAGGACAGCCATGAGAAAAGAGAGTTCAGCAAAGGATTACTTATCGTCTGTGCCTGCACTGAGCTGTCTCTCAAGGTAGGTTACCATCTCACATCTGGAATGTTTGTGGCTGTAGTGCAGAGACCTTCTGTACTTAAACAGAAGTCTGCCTCTCTGGTGTGTTACAGTTGCTGTAAGCTACACTTTTCATCTCCCACTTCCCCTTCCACGTTTCTGTCCTCTCCGTTTTATTAACAACTGTCACTGCCAGAGGAATAACAAAGTGAGTTTTCAGCTGGTGTGTACTTGGGTTGGCTTGAAGCAATTGTGAAACCACAATCGATGGAACTGTGTCTCATTCATCCTTACCTCAGGTCAAATACAATGATTCAGGCTGTTTTATTTACTTCACAGATCAGTTTGCATTTCAGAAGTACGTGTCACATTCCTGGATGTCACTGGTTGTTTCTTAAAGGAACTTTGTATTTTCTTTGTATTTTTATATATATTAAAGGAAAATTTCCGCTATTGCATTTGCTCAAATACTAAACTTGAAACCTGGGGTTATGTACAGAACTAATTTTGAATCCTATACTTAGATCTATAGTTTTCTCTTTAAGATCTGTTTCTGTAATACTTGTGATAAGAAATAACAAGGATTCTGGTACCTATCACAAGGCAGTTTCTTAAAAATAGAAGGGAGCTTGATGTACTGGAATTTACTGGGATTAACTGATTGAACAGGGAGTGGGAAGGATGGGAATCAAACAATGGAACTGCTATTTTTAATGGCAGCCCACAGATCAGATTAAGGTTTGTGTGCAGTTGTGATCTAAGAAGAGCAAGTGGTCTTAGCAGGCTTAGTTTGTTAGATAAGGTCTCTTTCTGTGGAAAATTTCCTTCAGACTGAAGAAAGTTTGAAAGCCAACATCTTAACTCAGTCATTTTACAAGAGATTTTCCCGTTGATTAAGAAAGAAAAAGTATGAAATAGAAAGTAGTAACACAGTACAAAACAGTGATAACAGAGCACAGACACAAAAAGTGATTTTAATCTGTTAATGTAACCACCTTTCAAATTGCAGGCAGATCACACATTTCGTATCAACAAAAAGATACAAAATATTTTCAGTAACTTTAGCTTGATATGCATAGTTTAACACCAATGGTGAACTCTGTATGTACTATACAAAGATCATAGTAAGTGCACTTCCTTGCATTGAGTTACTTCTTATGGCACAAAGGTTTTCTGTACTGCTGAAGAATCACCAGAGCAGAATGTTTAATTGCTGCTGTAAATCTTGAACAGGTTTATAGCAAAAATGGCATAATAAGTATATTTTAGTTCAACTTTAGAAGAAGCCTAATGAGTAAGGATTTTAAATGATTGTGTAAATATTATGTTCACACAAATGTGAGGCATATGAGAATTTCAGTTGTATTTAAAAAAATAAGCCAAGCCATTTTCTCAGTCTTTTTTTCAAGGGCATTGTACTAACAACTGCTGCTGCATAATTTAAATAACTTCAGGTCAAATTCCAAATGCTTTTATTTCTTCAGTGAGACTAAAATTTGGACCTGATTTATAGAACCTTATCCATGGAATGGGTGTTTTGGTTTGGTCTGTTGGGATTTTTTCATTCATAGCTCTGAAGTCAGCATATCACAGGATTAAGTGCTTCATGGAGTCATTAAGATTCAAACTCTTCTGAAAGTTTACTTTCCAAGTGAGGCTGTTGCTTTAATATTCCACAGTGATAGCCTTGGTTCTAAGATACTCATGAAGAGCTTCTTCACCTGTACAAGCACAATATTCACCAGTTAGAACAGCAACTAAATGAGATAATGTTTTCCCAGACTATATTATTAAAAAAATAAACTGGTTTAGCCAATATTTGAGTCCTTAAGGAACAACTGAATCTAACTAACTTACCCTCCCACTGAGATTTACAAAACTGGTTTGACAAGAAGAGGCCAAACCAAACAGATGTATAAAGTAAAAGGAGCTGGAATTTCACCAGCAGCCACCTGGGTGGGACTGAACTCTGGCAGTCTCAAGATGGCCATTTGGGACTCTCTGTTGAAAATAACAAAGCTTGGTTTGCCCAAGGCAAAGCAGCTGTGTGAAAATTGGTGATTTTTTTCCCCCTGATACTATTACTTGTTTTGCTTTCAGGAGATGTCTGATGACTTGCTAGAGATTCCAAAGGCAAAAATCTGTTGTATCACTGAACAATTTTTTTTCTTTAATTTTTCTTTGCCATGAGGTTTGATCTGTCCAGGCTTGTGAAGTTTCTCTTGACAGACTAGACCTCACTTTCTTAAAAACTGGTTTTGAAAAGACAAGACTTTATGTATCTTTCTCTGTGGCTGTTGGCAAATTCTGATGACATTTTAAGGTGTAAAAATATTTCCCATGTTCTTACAAGTTTAGAGAAGAAACCTAAATTAGTGTTCTCCCTCAGGGAAAGGAAAGAATATTCTGGCCAGTACCTTTGCTGCTTGACAGCATTTCATAACTTGTACAAGGGTCTGGACAAGTTGTAATGTGACTGCTCTGAGCGGAGGAATATTTGGCATGTCCTGACATTGAGAAAACGTACAGGAAAGGCTGAACTGGAGGTACTGAGGTGGGAATATTGAAGGGATGGGAGAGGAAATAGATGAGTGTAATTGGAGACGACTAAGAGGGGACCTTATTAATATCTATAACTATCTGAAGGGTGGATGTCAAGAATGGACCAGTCTCTTTTCAGTGGTGCCCGAGGAGAAACAGCACCAAGCTGCAGCACAGGAAGCTCCACCTCAACATGTGGAAAAACTTCACTGTGAAGGTGACAGAGCACTGGAACAGGCTGCCCAGAGAGGTTGTGGAGTCTCCTTCTCTGGAGACTTTCAAGACCCATCTGGATGTGTTCCTATGTGACTTGCCCTAGGTGTTCCTGCTGCAGCAGGGGGGTTGGACTTGATCTTCAGACGTCCCTTCCAACCCCTATGATTCTATGGAGGAATACAGGAGATGCAGGAAATGCACCCATAGCTCATGTTTTACTAGCTACACTATACACAAATAAGGTGGATTTTTCATCGTTTTGGACTGTCAGATGAGAAATGAGGGAGGGAGAGAAAGGGAGGGAGAGAACAACTTACCTAAATCTTTCCCAAAGCCAGACTGTTTAAATCCACCAAATGGTGCTGCCACATCAGTTTTGTTATATGTGTTAATAAAAACTGTTCCAGCTTCTAGCTTTTCACTGATGTAGAGTGCTTTGCTTATGTCTTTTGTGAAAACTCCAGAAGCTAAACCATATTCTGTGGTATTTGCCCGTCTCAGCACTCCATCGACGTCCCTGCAGAGGAAAGAAATTATTTAATTGCAACCAGGTAAAATAAACAAATGTTGGCAACCTTCTACCTTCCATGTCATTGGAGCACCTTTTCCCACGCTCAGTCCTCTGCAGTCAGCTTTTCAAAGACAATATATCAGTGCGTGAATCCGACAGCGCTATGGAAATTCATACCCTCGCTTCAAACTTGTAAAGCTCGTAATGTTACATTTCAGTAGATAAGATCTACACTAAGAAATGTCAAAGGACAAGTTGCGCTATGCATACCAACTTTGCTCAGCTACAGTACAACTTGGGGATTCAGAGGAATATAAAAATACTTTTAAAGCAGAGTTTGGCTGCAGATGATGGGTGTTTGCTAAAATTTTTGCCCTGCTTAAGTTAATGGAGAATAAGTGCTGAAAGTGAGACTTTCAAAGAGATACAACTTTTCAGGACATGTCCAGAGTGCTGTATTCTATTTGCATGTCATCTGCAAAAATCCATAATAATAACATAAAACTTAAACTCAATACAGTCCCTTATCATGATACATAATTTATAGACATGAAGGGTTATCTGTGTGGGTGGTTCTTAACTTCATTATCAAACTGCAGAAAATGAAACCTGTAGTAGTGACATGAAGTTTCTATAGAGGATTTTAATCCCACCTGTGTGTAAAATAATTCCTATGAATTGGAATGAAAGCTGCTAAAACTTGCAGTCTACAACAAACAGAGGGATTTTCATTTGCAGCAGTCATGTGCCAGTGTTACACAGTGCACAGCAAAGCTCTGCGGTCTTGTGACAAAGAGGGAAGTGAAGTGATTCCAATGGAAAAAATACATATTTTGTAATTTGATGAAGCTTTTGCAATTACCACATCAACTTCAGTAAAAATGTTTTACTGAATGCTAAGATGTATTTAAGAACTGGCAATTAAGAGCTGCATTCTATCCTGTCACACACTGGTAATACTTTTAGTTCTGTATCAACATGGAGCAGGATAACCCTTACTAAAAAAAGTATTTTATCAGAATTTAGCTGGAAGAGGATCTAGGTATTCAGACTAGTCTTAGGAGATTTACCAAGATCATACCACATACGCTATCATTTCTCCATTTAGAAAATGAGAAAGTTCCTAACATTAACTGGATGAGAACATACCCATTTTTAAATTTAGAAATCACCATCACAGGACCAAAGGACTCTTCCTGTGCAATATACATGTGGTCTTCAACATCTGTGAATACAGTGGGTTCCATGAAGAAGCCTAAATGGACAATAGAGCATCATTTAAGCATAGTGGAAACACTTTGTGTTTTGTACTGCCCAGGCCATCTCTTTTCCATATTTTGAGGTCAGAGATATATTGAGACTTGAAACAGAAAACATTAAGATTGATATGAATGAAGTATGATCGGAAATGCATGTGTGTAAGCACCAGAGAAACAGCAGAAAACAAGAACTAAAAGCATGGCCTGGATTGATCAGAGCAACAACTGCTGTTCCCTGCCAGGTCTGGTCTGTGTTTCACAGCCCAGGGGACTCCTCCAGGGAAATCCTGCACTCTTAACAGCAGGAAGACAAGGTTACAGTGTGTCACAGGGGACTGTCTTTCTCAGTACCCTACAAGAAGATACACTGTAGCCATAATGATCTGCATATTCCAAAAAAAGAAAAACATGCCATAGGCAGCAACTTTGCCTAAGATTTGTGGAGGCTGAAGTAAAAGAAATTGGGAGGCAATGGACCTCTTCCTAACACCTGTTCATTTCTAAAGGGTGTAAAAACCTGTCCAAAAACTAGTTCATTGTTGCCAGTCAAGGACTGTCCTGGTGTTACACACAATCAAACCTGGTCACCTGCATCTCGGTGAGCAAGTGTATTTCATTGTGAGTGGGTAAATCAGCTTCAGAGGTTTTCAGTAATTGCTTCCCCTTCCCATAAGATTTCCCACTTAGTTTCATTACATTGATTTCATATAGTTGGAAATCTCCACTTTGATATAATTTAAGGATGCAATCATTATGTTTTGAAACTCTGATGCAAAAGCTTATCCTTCATTATTGATACAGGACAGATGTTAATAAGCAAAGATTGAATTAATTCCTTCTCATTAAACTTAGTTTTCATATTATTTAGATAGCAAAAAAAAAGACTTATAATAATAATACCTTATGGAGACTCTGCCAGCATTTTCCTCAGTCATCTTTAGTGTTTTGTTGACCCAAGTGGATTTAGTTATGATACTTGACAGTTCAAGAATGTTGTACAAAAGGCCTCAATGCCCCATAAACAACAGGAATAAATGAGCAAAAGGTTTTTGTATAGCCTAGATTCTGATCTAATTTCATTTTCTGCTTCAGTTAGACAGCTTCTCCTAATAGGACCCTTGAAAGCCCAGTTCTCAAGTGTTATCTTGGACATACCTGCTACTGTTCCCATGGTATTGCTACTGCACATCATGCAGCAGACACAACCATGATAACTTTTAAAGTGTAAAAGTTCCGAACATGTTTGCAAAGTCTTTTACCTGGTCTACAAACTTGTTTTCCTCCATACACTAGAGTGGCTCCTTCTTTCACTCCAGTTTCACAATATTGCAGCAGCTTTTCCAAATGTGCCTTGTGATTTTGTGGACCATGATCTGTAGATCTATCAAGTGGGTCACCAATTTTCATCTTTTTTATTTCTTCCACCTGTGGGTGACCGGATCAAAAGGAAGTTACAAAACACAGCAAATAGTTGTTGAAGTGACCAGTGATTTGGGATGTTTCATCGCTTATACTACGAAATCTGGCTCTAAGAAAGGGCTGGACTCCTAGAGGGTGAAATGCTCTTTCTAAAATGGCATGGTATCTTATGCTTGATACTTTCTTCTGAAAGATTTTTTTATGCTGTTTTTTGTATCCATTCTCTTCTGCTTGAAGACAAGCATGTAAAACATTAAGCTTTTACAGTGGTAAGTTAGTAATAGTGATTTCCTGATCTTGAGGTAGATAAATGAATTTTCCACTGTTACAGTGTGATGATTACTGGATTTTTAATAGCCTTTGTATTAATCTAGCTACACTTTCCAATATGCCTTTTTAAAAAACTTCACTGCAGTCTTCAATCACATTGATGTAAATTCCATAATTTTTTTAATCTTACTTTCCTAGTCAAGGTACAATATCTACTTCAGTGTCACTTATCTGTGCATTACTGATGTATCTCCTTTCTGTGCCTTCCTTTTAACCCTGTAAAGAGGTTCTTGAGAAGCAACATTGCCTATCGTAAGCAATAATTAGAATTTAAACAACTGAAAATAAGAAGACGTGCAAGTGTCTACAGAATTAGTGGCTCTTTGTGCCACAGTAAATTATTTGCTTAAACTATAACCTTTGAATATCTTACCACTTTTCTAACAAATTCATCATGGATTGATTCTTCCACAAACAGCCTGCCAGCTGCAATGCAGTTTTCTCCTTTGTTGAAATACACTGCTCCCATACCCTAAGCAGGGGAAAATAAATTAATATTTAAATGCAGCCTTTTGATCAGTCTCCCTTTCATTCTGTTCCCTCGGGTTGCATTCTGTGTTTGTGACCTTCAGCACATAATGCTTTACGTAAAGGGACATCAGCAATGCAACAAGCCGACTAATCTTGTAACTGGCAAACACACTTCCATGGAGACAAACAGCACAGGATGAACCCATTAGCACCACTCTTCCATTTCCACCAGCATGCCACAGAAACACCTACTGCAGCATCTCAGAGAAGAGGGCTGGCAGCATGACCAGCAGATATAAAACTCGGCTAATCCACTGAGCAATGCTGCTTGTGTCGACAGCCCCGTGTATCTGGGTGAATATTACCTAACTGTCATCTGCAGAGAACATCCTACTTCAAGAGTGTGGATTCACACCCCATGCAGTTTGTTCCTTTTTATTTACCAAGAACTGGTACCCACCATTGTTTTTCAAAGGGGATAGGGAAGTGGGGGAAGGAAGAGCAGGACAAGCAAAATTCCTAAAAGGTGTTTTTCTGGCAGCTGCAAAGGCCTAGAATCTTGGTGTTAACAGGGATGACTGGGATCATGTGCTAGTGTCAAGTGCATAACAAAAAAAAACATAGTTTCACTATCATTTAAAACCATCAATGCCAGCTATAGCCCAGGCCAACCTCTGTGTCACTCACACTTGCACAGTTGAGAACAGTGATGGGGTCAAGCAGTGCCCTGACTGCTAAGTTTCAGCTTTTGTTCTTACACATATACTTCACTGTGCAGTCACTCAGACTCTTCTAAAGAAACTCCAAAAATGGGGAAAGTGTATACTAGTTTCTTCCTGGTAGCAGAACCTGCTATTGCTGGGAGAATTCACAGAATTAGCACTTTGGGTAAGTATAGAGTTCAAGACCTTTGTTTGCTTCTTGGTGAGCAAACTGCATCTGCTGTCATTTTGATGAATCAGATTACCAGAGCATGAAATAAGCCCCCTAAATCCACTTAATTTCTCATTTGCATGTCTTACCTATGAACTTAAAACACATTATGGCTGCTTAGAAAGGTGGATTGTGGTGACTGATGGTGAATTAATAACTATATGGCAATAAGGAGCTCTATGTGTATTTTAACTCACTTTCAGGTTTTAATTTTTTGAGTGTTTTTGGGAGGGATTTTTTGAGTTGTCAGATTTAAATTGGCTAGTGAAAATATTTTCCAGATGTACTTCTTTGTTTTGTTTTATTTCCTAATATGTGTTTCTGGTGGTACTGATCCCTGCCTTTTTGGTGCAGCATGAACAATTTAACTGTGCTGGCATAAAGAAACATTCTGAAGAAAAATAAGTCTGTTTTCTAACAGATTGCATGATTTTTCATGCTAGGAATCTCTACTGCATTTTATGGCAAGTCAACAAGCATATTGTAATACTGTAAGGATGTATCACAAAGGATTTGAATATATCTTACTTCTAAGTAACATTACCATTTTTACAGCTCTGTCAAGTTCACAGTCATTGAATATGATCAATGGTGATTTACCACCAAGTTCAAGAGAAACCTTCTTCAGATTAGTGGCTGCACTGTAAAAATATAAATAATAACAGAAAAAAACAACTTTAAAAGAGATTATTTCATTAGTTCATTTGAATCATGTCTAGTGAAAATGTATTAACTTCTATTTTCCAAAAGTGACTGAGAATTCTAAATAAATGTAAACAACCATATGTCATCATGCTTTTCTATTCCTGCTACATGCACAATATAGCTAATAAGATACTTCAGAACTAGATTAAGCAGCATTCATTTATGAATCTTTTGCTGAGAGTACCTCTTCATGATCTGTTTACCAGTTGGTGTTGAACCAGTGAATCCAACTTTGCGAACATCTGGATGTTCAGACAGGTGTTGTCCCACTAAGCCACCTGTTGGGGTGAGGAAAACAGCCTAACTGAACAGCACATGGGCAATTTTTTCTATTCCAGCAGCAGCACTGTAGTACAGAAAGAGCTAACAGAATATCAGTCAAGCACAGTATCACATCTTTATTTATATTTACAGCTTTATTGATACGACTATGAAAAATCTTGTATTAGTTAACTTGGATCACATTAGAGTCTCCAGATTACTCCATCTGTCTAGACTAAAGGACTTCCTTCCTAAGATTTCACTGTAGGTGGAACAATCTAATTTGGAACAGAGCCTGCCACCTACAGTTTCATTGTCACTTTTCTTCCTTAGGGAAAACAGGAAAATGTAACATCAGGTAACATGATAAGGACCTATGACCTATGGTCTTAAGAGCTTGCTCTAGCTCTCACAGTCACATTTAAATACTTCCCAGTTATGACAAGATTAGGAGAAAAAATGAAGTTTTAAAATCAAGTGAAACACACTTCTAACACATTTTTTTGTCACTATTTTTGTGAACTTGTAAAGGGGAAAGCTGACAGCTCTTACCACTAGCTAGATCCAGGTGACATACAGATTTTTCCTATTCTGTTCTGGAAATATGTGAAATCCCTGTATGACATAGATGCAAGCCTACTACATGCGAAGATACATGCACTTACGTAACAGGCGTTCAAAAAGATAAAATCAGTTCACCAGTTTTAGCATGACCTACTCTTTTCAGAAAAATAACTAGATAAGTTTTACCTGAACCAGGCAGAATATTTATAACACCCTTAGGAAATCCAGCTTTTACTGAGAGTTCTGCAAACTTCAAGGAAGTCAGAGGTGTCACCTAAGTAAAAACATTTTAATTAGGTCTCCTGTTTTAACTAAATGTGTAATGATATCTTTTATATTCAATACATCTTCATTTTGATACAGTATTTGTTCTTACAGTATTGACAATGCAAGAAGTGTGGATTATATGATTGGATATACATTGGGCAGTGAGGTGGATTGGGTATTGGTTGAAGGACAGAGCTCAGAGAGTTTTGGTAAGTGAGGCAGAGTCTAGTTGGAGACCTGTGTCTAGTGGGGTCCACCAAGGGTTGGTACTCGTTCCAGTCCTATTTAATATATTCATTAATGACCTGGCTGACATGCCAGAAGACTGTGCTGCCATCCAGCGTGACCTGGACAGGTTGGAGAGTTGAGCAGGGAGAAACTTAATGAAATCCAACCAGGGTGAGTGTGAAGTGCTGCATCTGGGGAGGAACAACCCCATGTATCAGTATAGGTTGAGGGCTGGCCTGAATCCACTAGATTGCTTGAATTACTTTGCCTGAACAAATAAAGGAGGATCAGAGTCAGCTGTACTTCTTTTTTACCTGAGCTGGCTTGAGCACAAGTGTGTTGCCTGCAGCCAAGCACGCCGCGCTCTTCCATGCAAGCATCATCAGTGGGTAATTCCAGGGAATAACAATTGCACAGACACTTAAGGTACAGAAAAGCAGGGAAAAGGTTAAATTTTTGATGGCAGCTTTTGAATGTTTTTTTCTGTAAGTCAAGGCTTTCACTAAGAAGAAAAAAAAAGTTATACTTACCCTATTGGCTCTTTCTTGGTGAACGTTAGATTATGGTTTGGCCGGGCCTGGTTAATTGGAATTGTTGCACCCTAAAAGACAGAGGAGGGACAATGCTTGGTATTGCTTAAGAATATTTATTACAGATATATTGATAAATTTGTTTTGGAAAGCCATGGGGGAGCCTTCAAAACCAGAAGCATTTTTGCATCAGAGAAAGTGGCAGGGATGCTTCTACTGTGTAATTTTCTACTATGGATACTGTAGTCAACTCCTGGTTTTCAGCTGGATGAACAAACCACAGACAACAAAAAACATAGATAATAAAGCAGAGATAACAAAAGTATGCAAGAACACAAAGAGAGGGTCTGATGGACAATAAAACACTGAATTATATTCTTGATTGTGGATCTTAAAGACACTTGAGGAAATGCTGTTGAACCTGTGCCATGTGCTGTGACACCAAGCAAACTCACCAGCTTGAGTCAGAATGTAACCTAGAACATGAGGCTCTACACTTAGCAGCACGATGACCACAGTGACATTCTTCTCCATGAACAGTCAAGAGCTGACTAAGCAGGATTATCCACTATGACACCTCAACTGATTTCTTAGATACTTAGAGTCACATTCTAAATCCATATTCTCCAACTGTAAGCCGTGTGTCCTTTTGTATTGCCCGGGAGACCCATTTTAGGTAAAACTCTGGTTTGCTTTATTTTTTGTTCCTTCATTACTTTTGCTAACACTGTTTTTGGGCAGTGTAGAGAAGCACCACCATCAATTTTTTCCTTTACATATTCACTTGCCTGAATTTTGTCACACCATCCAGCAAAGTATCTGAATGTTTGCACAGACATTCCAACATGAGTCTTCAAAGCCAAAGTGTAGACAGCTCCTGAGTCGATAGACTCTATTGTTGCTAACTCTTCTTGATGTTCTTCCATCAGGTCTGCAAGTCTTTAATAAAATCATAAAAAATCTACATCAAAGAGAAGTGACATCTAACCATTGACAGCCTAAAATGATATTTGGTGTGGCAAAGAACCATAATTAAAATTGCATTCCCACTGGTTTTGGAGGTAGAGAACTTGGAGAACTAGAGCTAGTGCTTGTTAATATCAGTAAGAGCTTGAACAATTGCCTACTAAAGTTTGCAAATCATAGAATCACAGGATGGTTTGGGTTGGAAGGCACCATTAAAGTTAATCTAATTCCACACCCCTGCCATGGGCAGGGACACCTCCCACTAGACCAGGTTGCTCCAAGCCCCATCCAACCCGGTCTTGGACACTTCCAGAGAGGGGGTATCCACAACTTCCCTGGGCAACCTGTGCCAGTGTCTCACCACCCTCACACTGAAGAATTTCTTCCTAATGTCTAATCTTAATCTACCCTCTTCCATTTTAAAGCCATTACCTCTTGTTCTATCACTGCATGCCCTGGGAAAAAGTCCCTTCCCAGGTCCCTCCCCAGCTTTCCTGTAGGCCTTTCAGGTACTGGAAGGCCACCATAAGGTCTCCCTGGAGCCTTCTCTTCTCCAGGCTGAACAACACCAATTCCCTCAGCCTGTCTTCATAGGAGAGATGCTCCAGCCCTCTCATAATCTTCGTGGCCCTCACTGGATGTAGTAGACACTGGATGAAGGCATTAACTGTCAAAACTTACCTGATTGCTCAGTTACAGATTTGTAAATAAAATAATAGTCAGAAAATTTGTACTCTTTTCCTGTTGAACTACAAGGAGCCAATTATAGAAAATCAGACCAGTAAATTGAAAGTGAATACACACTAACATAAGAAATGTCAAGTAATCAAAAGTACCAAGAAGGAGTACTCAGAGTCCTAGCTTAAGATCTGGGAAACCTAGCTTCTTAATGCTGTTTTGTATAGTCTGAACTAAAATACCTAAGTCTCAGATCATTCAAAGACACCCAGATGTCCAAATTCAGAGTTCCTAACCTGTAATGCAAATCGCATTTCATATGCCTTGGGACATTGAGAATCTGGCCTATTGTCTCTCTGGGCCTCAAGTTCTCCATCTGTTAGATTTATGAAGCAACACATTGAGGATCTAAGGCTGTGGTAAATATTATTAACAGAAGCTATCAGAGTGTGTAAAAAATGCACAGACAGATACCTATACTTATGAGGAGCTCTTGTAATTTTAGTGGTCCCTGCTCAAGCAGAAAGGTATATTTGCATGAATGAATTTTTGCATTCAGGTCTTAGATTTCTCACATGGCAATGAAACAAATGCATCCATGATTTTCTTAAGCTTCTGTCTGTGTTTTGATCCTCAGATGTCTAGTTGATGCTCCCATGTGATTTTAAGAGCTTAACCAAGTGCATTTTACATGCTATAAAGAGTATTCAAAACTGGGTATGACACCTATTTTTCCATTATGTCAATTCTGCTTATTTAAAGCAGCATTTGCAGAGATGAGGAAAAATGGTCTTTAATACTTGCTTTAACTGCAACTTGGAGATCCAGCTACAGGTCAGGGCATCAGTCATAGTGTGTAAAAGAATGGATATGGCATGTCAGAGACAAAGAAGAAAGCTCCATTTAATGCATGCCTAATATTAGCACTCAAAAACTGTAATGTGAACAGGGACCAAAGAAAAAGGGGCCTTGTTTGAATTAAGGTGGACCAGAGAGTTACTTCATTCATATTGGGGATGATTTACAGCAGGAACACTCTGGTATAGCTATCCTAGAGACCCAGTAGCCTAAGCAGAGAAGAGTTTAACCCAGAAATAATCTGTACAGTGTAGAAGAATTACGTTTTCCATTTGCCTAACATAGTTGCACTTGAAAATCTTTCAGCTGGACAATACAGAACAGTAGTTCTAAGACCTTAAAAGTTTCTCTTCAGGGTAGAGTGAGCTTGGGCTCTCAAGTGCTCTTACCTCCCTTATGCAAACTAAACCCAGGTTTGTACATGCTTTGCACCTGTGAAAAATGTGACTGACCATATTTAATTTTAATATGAGTTCAGACTCGCCTGTTTTCTGTTGTGATGACTACACAACTCTTTTATAGTCCTGTGGGCCTTTTTCAAAGGTCTGGTCACATCCTTTATGAGACAAATAGACTTTTCAGTTCTGCTTTCATGCTCTTTTGCTAAGATGCCTGAAATGTCTTGTAAAACGTGGTATTTTTTAATAGTTTTTATTTCTAATTATATCTACATACTCATATGGTAAGAAGAGTGGAGAGGAATTTACATCCAAGGCATTCAACAAAGTAAAAATTACATCTATATTAATGTGATAACAAATTATCTGCTGCAGCCACTACAGTGGACACAGACCCATGTTTCCCTTGTGCAGCACTACACTTCCCCATGCTCCTCCTCCTTAGCTGCCAGAGCAGACTTATAGGAACAGGATAATCTTCTAGCTGCATGTTTCAAACCACTGCATCAGCTGCCAGGCTGTCTTGCCATAGCCTGCTACCATCCTGCAGCTGCTCTCCATGTAACAGATCCTTCCTCCACTGGCTTTTCAGAAACCCAGGGCTCCCCTCCTGGCACAGCACAATAAAGGCTTAATACAGCAGTGGGTATGGGCACACTATTGAAGATAATATTTGTTGAAGGTGAAAGAAAATCCTTCTCTATAAGTAAGTAGTCTCCTCAGCACCATCGACTTGGCCAGGACCTCCAATAGCAGTGTTGATGAGCCTGCAAACTACATCCTGCAGAAGAAGGTGTTTTACATGCAGTACCTACTCCTTCATGAGTTCCTTGGGGGAAGAAGTTTCAGGTCTATTCAAGATCCTAGCTTCCTTAAAGCCAACTGCTATGTCAAGCACGTAACTAGTATCTTTCCACCTATTGAGTAGGAAAGGAATTTCCCTAGTCCTCTGTGCTGACAACTGATTCTCCATCATGCCATTACCTAAACGTGAACCTGGGACACTCGGGAGTAGCAATCTGCTTCTTTACTCATGTCTACTCATTCATTTGTATGTCCTAGAACTTAAAAAGCAGTGAAAGCTCTTAATATAGCTCCATGAAAGAGGCCTTCTTTATAGGGAAGCTCTGGAACTTCTAGTCATACAAGACAGAGTTATCTGTGCTTGCTCTCAGGCACCAGAAGCAGCATCCTACACATGGACAATCCATAGGAATGGGGCTTTTATTAGCTGTCTCCAGTATCACTCTCACAATATCTAGCTAGCATGACTGACTTCATCTCTTGTCCTTCAACAATCAAAATCCACCATTAAAATGCCATTCACTCAGCAAAACCTGTTTATCTTCTGAAACAATAACACAGCCCAAAAGAGAACCACGCGTTATCTAGGGTTGACTCAGTGGAATAGATAGAAATGAGAGCTGGGAGTATTCCAGATACACATGGGATTCATCTTAGGAGTGTTTCTACACAGCACAATTCTTCCACGAGAGACCATAACCCATCTCCTAAAGTGGGACTTTAGCCAGGTGAGAAGTATTCTGGGATATGATTCTGGAGAATCTAGAATCAATTACAGTCTATTTCAAAATTAGTGGCAATGTGACTGCATGTTTACTCTACGAAGTGCTTAGCTACTGTAGAGGCAGGCTTAGCAAGGGGAAAAGTCTTTGCCTACCTATCCTAGGTAGACTCTGCCAGTAAAACTTAGCCTTATTTATGCAGAAGGATTTGAACTTTGTGAGGGAATTTTCAATCCTTGCAACAAAAAGCATATAGATTAAATGAAGTCATCAAGTATTTAAGAGACATTTTCTCAAGTTCTTTTTTTCCATTCATAAGTAATAATTTAAAAAATACTAACAGCAGGAGATCACAAGATTTCTCTCTGCCACAAGAAAGGTTAGCCAGCTAAGACCTGGGGCCAGTACACTGAAGTGAATTAAGGGATGAAAAGATCTGGTTCCTCTGACAGCAAGATTATTAATATCTAGCATATTCAGAAAATGTATGCAATGACTCTTCAGAGGACCAAACCACTAAGATTTAAGAAAACAAACATAAGCTGCCTTTCACG